GCGTTTTTCCAACGTAAGTTGCGTCATTTACTTAGAGAAGTTTAAAAAATATATATAAATTAAATAAAGTTAGTTTTAAGAAATTTTTTTTGTTATCGTAATTTTTTTTATTTTATATTAAAAAACAAAGTTTTCCTTAGTTCTCCCTACTCATATCAAAAAACGGCAAAAAAAACGCACAGTGTTTTATTTTTGCGTTACTTAAAGAAACGGTATTAGACGTTGATTACAAATCTTTTTTGCGTTCATCAGATTGCATGTGAGTGAGAATCAGGTGATTAATGATTAACAATGTAAAGTGGTGCGTTATTTTTGCAGACCACTGTATGTACCAGATACGAAATGATAAGATCCAGTTGATCCGATGATAGAAAAAAATTTTTATGCAATTTGTGCAAATTAACTGCGTAGCTCATTTTCAAAGATTAAATACCAATGATTCAAAATTATCTACTCTCACTCAACAATTCAATCCTTCTTTTCTTTACATCATAACAATCAGTCATTTTGATTTTTTTCTAAACTGAGGATTTTCTAACGCCTGCTGATTATATTAACCTTGCTTGCACAATTCAGAAGTTAGTTAAACTAAGGAATTATAGGCACACATAGTGAGTTTCACAAGGGCTCCTATGCCAATCTATATGGAGGTTGTGTGATCAAAAGGTAAAGAGTTCAAAGAGGTAATAATAAAGTATGAATTAATAATATTTAATTCAATTAGCAAAAATAATAACTATTTTATTAACAAAAGATAACTTCAATTCAAATAAGCAAATCACTATTTTTACTAATTTCTAAATATAATTATTCCAAGCCACAAAAATTGGTTAATGAATTACAATATCAAGTACAAAAGAAAATAAAGCTATCAATTTGTTAAGACACAAAAGAATTTATTAGATAAGAATCAAAACTAATTTTTCTTCAACTCGCACATTGATTTATCTCTCTAACTCATGAGAGCTGCCTTTTATATATAATTTAATTAATAATGAACTATTTATCTGACAGAATGTAAATTATTAAAAGAATTCATACATTCTATGTATAAAGTAAGAATTTTGCAAGAATTCTAACAAATTATACTTCATTTCTAAAAATAGCAAGATTGATTATCAAAATCAAATAGAATCGATTGCAATTATATATAACACAATTGATTCATTTTGATTAAATAAATTGAGTAATAGCATTTTACTTGAATCTACTGGATATCAAGATTGGATCATAAAATATCAAAATTATATTTTAAAATAATACAATAAAAGTTTTGATAAATATGATAAATATTCAATATCCAATCAATATGAAAGTTTTATAAAAAGTAGATAATTATATTTATATTATTCTTTTGCTCTTTAATATTATGTTTAATTTTTATCAATATAAGAGGATTAGATAATTATGATCTATACTGTAAGTTACATTTTTATAATATAAAAGTCAGTAATATATTTGTAATATTTTTGTGCTCAGAAATTTGCTTGATATTATACATAATTATAGGCTTTTGTATTTAACTATATATTTATATAAATCAGAATTTCATTTTTTTTATAAAATTTAATATCTTATTTGATAAACTCTTTATTATTTTAAAGAAAATTCATTATATTTATGAAAATTCAAAATAAATATCAAGCTATATAAAAATTTATTAAAAATTAGATTAATTACAAATTATATTTATTTATATTAAACTATAAATAATAAGAATAGAAACAAAATCAAGTAATTTGAAAGAGAAAAGATATTAAAATTGCTCCAGATAATTTTGAATTAAATTTATATTTAAAGGAATTATAAAAACAGAATATCAAAAATTACTTATAAATTAAATATTATCTTTTAATATAATTATTTCTTGAAAAATAAAAAAAAATAAAAAAAGCTTAAAAATATAATATATCTTAAAACAAAGTCAATTAAAAACTAATATTTTTGTTATTTTAAAGAATATTATTTATTTAATTATAAGATACTAATTTTAATTATTATAAATTAATATAAAAGTTTCTAAAAATATATATATAAAGTTATTTATTTCTGATTTCAAGAAATTCAAAACTTGTTTAAGTATGAATTTTAAAGTAATATAATTATGCTTAAACAAATAGATAAAAGCTATAAAATAAAATATTATTATTATAAATACATATTATTATATAATAATCTGATCACTTGATAAATGAATCTGAGTTTGAATTTGACTTTAGACTGAGTCATAACCAAAACTCAAAAATAAGTCTTTTATAAAAAGAAAATTGTCTAAGAGAAATTTGCAAAATAAGAAATATAATTATATATTTTGACATTAATAAATTAATGAATAGTTAAATATTTAAAGATAATTTTAAGTAAATATAATAAATTCTGAAATTTTTTTAATATATTTTATATTTTTATTATTATTAGTTATTACAAAAAAGTTTGATTTATGTGATTCTAGCTAAATATCTAACAATAATTTTTATATTTAATTAAATTATTTTGATAAAATTATATATAATTTTGACTAATATTAATAAATAAGTCACAAAATCTTGATAAATTTCAGATAAATTATGTCATTATTATTATTAAGTATATTATCATACAGGCTTAAATCGTGTAACTCTATAATAAATCCTTCAAAAACACAAAGTATTGCAATATTTTTAATAAAAGACAGCTTCATAGATAATATTTTGAGATTTGAGATATAAGCTGCTTTATTTTGAATTTTTTCAATCATATCTTTTGATTTGTTGATTAATTTACTATAATATATATTCTGAAGAAGATAATTTTATATTTTATTAATTTTTTTAATTTATTAATCTTATTTTTTTGATTATAAAAACAGATTTTGAGGCCAAACAACTTATAAGAAAATCTAATGTTTAATTAATTTTACATAAAACAATAATTGAAAGCAGTTTTTGATAATAAAATCAGATTTTGAGGCCAAGTGACTTACAAGGAACCTAAAATTTAACTGATTTTACACAAAATGATAATTAAAAGGGGTTTTCTTGTTGAATGTGCTCAAAAATTCAAAGTCTATTGGAGGATATCAATAATAGATAGTTCCATCTGTTTAGAATTACATTAATAGAATTGAGAATGTAATAATAATATTAAGAATTGTGATAATGGTAATTATTTAGTACAAAAGAAATAAAGCTGTTAGGTAAGAGTTTAAAAATAATTTTTTTTTCAAACACATATTGTAATTCTTTAAGCACTATTCTTTATATGCAATTTGATTATTATATAGTTATCTATTTTACAGGTTGCAAGTCTTACAAGAATTCGTGGATTACTATGTACAAAGTACAAGAATTCTACAAAAGATGCCAGTTTTGTCAGCAGTCCTTGCAATAGACTTGATCAACTGGTAAAATTAAAAGTGCAAAAAACTTCTGTGCATTACTGTGACTTATTGTCAATACTACTAAAGTATGCATGCAAATATAAAAATTAATAAGAAATTTAAAATTCAACACTTAATGTCTATGTTAAAAATTATTTACATACACGTAAATCAAAGATGCTGATAAGTTTTTGATAAATTTTTATTTGTAGTATGGTAATTAATAAATGCAAATTGTGTTATGAGATCGCAGTTCAGACCTGAAAGAGATATAGATATTAGAAATTAATGTTATGAAAAGTTTGTTTAATTTTATAGCAAATTTAAGAGTTTCTATTTTAAAATGTAAAATAAATATTGATATCTATCGAAAATATATAGTTCATTTTAATAAAGGGTCTTGCATGAATTTTCATTAAAACAGACTCTCTTTTTATAGCTTAAAAATTTTTTTTTAAATTTTCGTTATGAAAAGTGATACATTCAAGTGAAGTGAACCAATAAATCATTTATCAAGGTCTTGAATTTCTCGTACTACGTGCATTACGTATCGGTATCGAAAGATTTATACCAGGGAGTTGAACGTCAGACACATGATCAAACTAGTTGCAACTATGGTTTTCCTATATTAACGAAGTTGTTTTAATAGCAGCGTTTGCCGTTACGTTTTATAGGTCGAAGAATTATATGATGGAATGCAGAGCAGTAAATTTTGAGGAATAAAATATGACCGAGTGCAATAGAAACGGTGTAAATTGTATTAGAACTATTAGGTTTCTAATACAATTACACAGTGGCTATAAGTTTAACTTATTTATTTTAAGAAAATGAGAATATATTTCTAAAGAGCTTTGTATTTTAAATTACATGAAAAAGATATAAATAATATTCATATTCATGCGACATGCATTTTATAATTTTTTGATAGCTACAATATCCAAACTTAAATTGGGTTCTTATTTTAATTCATGAAAAACAATTTCATTTGTTCAATAAAGTTTCTTCTGTGGTAGTGCCAGCGAATCCAACATTCGCGTAGCCCGGATCGTTGAAAAATAAGTATCCTCGATTACTCGGCGCCCCTGTTTTTTCTGTAAGAAAATTAGCGAATGCTTTTGAAATTTCACGGTTTTTCATGTTATCGCCAAAACCGCCAAGACAATTAATATGAACAATATAGGCAGGTGCATCCGAGTTAGCAAAGAGAAGAGAAAGACCGTCTTGTAGTGCGACATTCATTCCTTCAACAGGATGCGGAAGAAGTGTGGCGGCAAGAATTGATATTTCTTTAAGAAATTCTGCATGATTTTGAACCTATTGACGTGTATAAAATGTGAGTATGGGAGCTATTCTATATCTTTTTATTCATTTGTTTTCACCTTGACGTTAGTTTTCACTTCAATAGAAGGCATTATTGTTTTGGATAGACAAAGGATAAGTCGTTAAAAAGCTATGAGCTGTTTCAAACGCTCATTATTTATAGTTTTGCACAAAAAACCGGAATCCCACAGCAAACTTGATAATCGCCAATTATATATTTTCCCGCCCCGCCACCACCATCATTTTGGGATGTTTCAGCCAATTCATAATTTCGGCGTGGCTTAGCAGGCCGCGCGTGTTGCTGCCAATTGATACTGATACCGGTGTTTCTACATAATACTAACGATAAACTTGAAATTTACTCGTTTTTGTTAATCTTTCGAACGTTTTTTTTCTCTAATTGGTTGAATACAGATTTTCTATCCTGTACAAATTTCTTTAAAAGTATCTGAATCATACTGTTATTTGCGCTAATTAAGTTTTTATTAGCATTCAAAGCCATGTGAATAAAGTGTAGGTAGTTGTTCTATGATTAATAACAATAAAACGAGTTTGTGCCAATTCTATAAAAATAAATAACGATACAGTATTTTGCATATACATTTATATTAAAATGTTCTACATGTATTTGTGCAGTCAGTTTTATCATTACGGTCATAAATAATGTACCCTCCTAATTTACATGTATATCATAAAGAATAATATAAATCCACTCGTCAATTTGTTCAATATCCTCATGGTTAAAAAAAAGTGCTGTTAAGATAATATAGGCAAACAAGAATTTTACCTCTATATGGAATACATGAACTGATACTTCTAGAGTTGGCATCAGTGTCTTTTTCAGTAATATATATTCTATGGGTGCCGCCCAACATCACGACACCCATCTTTCCGACACGCCAAAATCCTGATACCCATCTTCCCGACAACCCAACATCCTGACAATCTAACATCCCGACAAATCCAACTACCTGACAATATAACTTTCCGTAAAACTAGTCCCAATTTCTGTTTATGGGGATTGACCACCAGCAAAATTATGTCGGAAGTTGAATGATGTTGGATTTCGGGGTGTTGGATTCAGGAAGTTGGTTTGTCGGATGTTGGAATTTCGGGAAGATGGGTTTGGGACGTTGGGGTAGACCCATATTCTATATCACGATCATTTTTGAATTTGTGAACTTTTCAAATTTGACTTCGGTGTCTTTTCATAATGTCAAACGCTTGTGAAACATACGTTAATATTGTAAAATAAAAATAAATATAGTTTTATCGCACGTTTGTCGATGTAGCATGTCTATATCAAAATTCTGTAGTCACATATTCTGAGTTAAATGCAAAAAGTACTTTTTTAATATATAAACTTAATATTTTAACAAAAATTATATATACAGTAGAATAGTGATTTTACCTTCATTTGGAACATATAAACTAACGCTTATAGTTGATATATTTAAACAATCTAAAAGTCATTTCGATTGAACAGAAAAAATAAATTTACGTACCTGTATCAGTTGCATTTCATTTCATCATCAAATCTCCGCTTTAGTGCTGATCAAAAATTCTAAAGTCTTCTTGCGAAGTCATTTTTTCATGTTATTATTTACATCCAGTATTATAGAATGCACAAATTTTTGATCGACCCGGCAAAACAAATCAAATGAAAAAAAGTGATACATGTATTAGAATACTGAAATCTATCATTAATTAAAAATGTCTGGAAGGCAATTTCACATATAACCTCGTTTTTCTCACCTAATAACTTACTCTAATCGAGCATAATGAAAATTCATAATCCAAATTAGGAAATTTGAAATTTGGTTCGGTAAAACTGATCGTTATTACATAATGTTGTAATTACAGATGATCAATTGTCTCAATTTTACAAAATGTTGTTTAGCTTCAGGAAATTTTAAACCTAAAAGAGAATGAGCATATCGACATGCTATTTTTCGCATAACAATAATAAGGCAAGACTAGAGATGGGCATAGTTCATCACTATGCGTACTATGCGCACTATGCGCATAGTACGCATATGCGCATAGTATACATGTAATACGCA